GTGAGTGAGGTAGTGTAGGTTTGATTTAGATCCAGTCTTCAAGTATTACCACTGAATATATATGTGAATCTTGAATAGATTTGTTTGAATGTGCCTTTTGGAAATTATATTGCATATCGAACGTTTTTCCATTCTAAGATTCATTAATCAGTTCATTTCTAACATCCCGGTTGAAGCTGGATGATCTGAATGTTCATTTACAATCGGATTTTCGTATCTGTGTAGTGATAATTGTGAATAAGAGATTACAAGGTCTGAATATTTGATTATCGTATAAAAAATTGTATTGTATTCACATTTTCCAAAAACTGCATATATGCAACCTCATTATTTGAGTTATTATCTAATGTCCCCAATTATTCAACCTTCGACATGTTGAAAACCTCTTTCTACTTTCTACTTTCATTTAAATTCACAAAAAGCTTGAGCAAACTCACCAAAAAAAGTGTGAGGTACCTATACCACGCGATCGGTGCTTGTGGTGGTATACTGGTGAATGTCCATTTTAGTTTTATCCATAAATCATCAAAATCCACATTATAAGAGATATGTTATAATTCACATTGGTTTTTTTTGGTCTACAAAAAACAATGGTCATATATAATATGGTCAATAGACAGAAATTTTGACAGATACTCATCAAATTAGTTACTTCGAACATTTCATGGATATTATAATTTTCCTTTACAGTATACAATTCGAATGAATATCATAGGAGTGGTCGCAAAGTAAAAACTACCGTGCGACAAAATTCGTTCAAAGAGGCCTGACAAATCGTTGCGACACGCATGACGAAGGTTGCAATTGCGTTGGTTTTGTTTCACGTAGAGAATTATTGTGAAGGTTGTGGTCGCATTTTTGTTTTGTGTGTTTCAAGGTAGATAGGTATTTATTATTTACCTATTTAAAATTCGAAATTGATAGTTGTGAACATGTGATAAAATTAACCAATACTTGATGAAAATTGATATTGTTTTCAAATAACACTTTATCGTGAGATTTTCACCACTTCAACACAAACCACAACACGTGTTTCACTTTAGCATGTGTTTCATAATGGCTTCGTTAAGAGTGTTCATACTTAACACGAACAAACACGCCTGCATAATGAACATGCTTGTGGAAGCTATTGTTTGGTGAAACACGTATTGCGCTTCAGTGAAAATCTCACAAAAAAGTGTTTACCCAAATAACTTGTTGACGTACCTTTGTTTGAGTGAGTTTCATCAAAGGTCATTATTATTAGTTACAAGCTGGTGAGATACTAAGAGAGAAAAAATGTAAATATATGCTCTGCCACCCGTGTGAAGCCGGGTCGGCTTGCTAGTGAATTATTATTGAAAAAAAGCCAAGTTGAGCCAAATGAAAGAAGATTTTCCAGATTAAATTTATCGTCATTCATCATAAATATGTGAAAGACAATAATATATAGGTGAGTCGTACTCAAAACTGATTATGAGTAAGAAATGTTTTTTGTTGATGGTGGTACTTCATCTATGTTTTTGCTCCAAATTTTGATTTAAAAGTTTGTCTACGTGAACAAAAAATTGATGTTCAGTTTTTGTGTGGAATAACATTTTGAGTTCATTGATATATTTTTCTGATTGATTCGGCCGTTACTTGATGAATATCCATAGTAATTTCAAAAACTACACCTCACGATTTGATCTCCACAAACTTTATTTGAAAAATATATCACATGTTTCGCTAGCACAGTTTTTGAAAAAATTATTGATATAAGGTTAGGAATGTTTTGTCGGGTGTTAAAATAGTGCTTAATATATACAGGTTGTTTATTAAACACGCGGCAAAAATCAAAGGGACTATTCCTTAGACTATTCTAAAGATAGTTTGTCATTTCAAGATTTTTGATAGGGCGCTTTGTTTCGAAGATACTGAGCTAAAAAGAATTTCGAAAATAACAATATATTACCAAAAATTACATATAATGTTTCTTAATGTACAAGAACTGTTGAAAATGACTACCCCTCGCTCGGATGCGAGAATCCAATCTTCTCCTCATCTACTCCTGAACTTTTTTTAAATCACCAGGATCATTTCTAATTGCGTTACACCTAGCAATTATCCGATTTCTCAAATTTTCCACTGTGATAGGAATGTTGTTGATAGTTACCAACCGAATTGTTAGATTTTTTATTTCTTGGTAGGTGTAGTGTAGTACGCTATACTTTTATTTCGGCTACGTTAATAATTATGAAATTACCAAAATTGTTATTTTCGCCCCGTATCTTCGAAACAAAGCGCCTTATCAAAAATCATCGGAAGACAAAATATCCTTAGAATAGTCCAAGGAATAGTCCCTCAATTTTTTGCCGCATGTTCAATAAACACCCTGTATAAGGAAATGTAAAAAATTGCATTTCCATTCTCTAGGATAGAGAGATTGAATCTGCTGTTTTCTGTTCGACCCAACTGCCAGTTGGAATATTATATCACTACCTTGCCGGAACTACATTACCAATGTAAAACTTCAAAGCAATTGGACATTTTCAATTTCCACTGCATTTTTCATCGAATGGTTAATATATCTCGAAAATCTACTTTGATTCATGAACGTGCTGATATAATTAGAAATGAAAACATAAACAGCTGACAATAATTTTATCCATGTATTGTCCTGTTTCGTAACGGTGATGTGTAAAAATACTCTCAACGAAATATCGAATGAATAGTTGGGATTGAAGTCATATAACAGTAAACAGTTCATTTTGAAGGACATAAGCATTCAGGGGCGGCAGAGTGCGAGAAAACTCTCATTTTCTCAGGAGTGTGAATTCCATCTAGAGCAAGTGAAACCAAGTAAAACTGTGTAAGAAAAGGCGGTTGTGGAAAGAATAATCGGTGAATTATCACTTTCGAAAGAATGGCAAGTAGGAGTAATATTTTTTCTATCAAGATTAAACTGCTATCAGGGACTTTACACATGAAGCTGCGAAAATATTTGAGTATATTTAAGGGGTCAACCTATTCAGGAGAAAAATAAAGGATCATAAACTCTTATCTGAATATATTGTTCAAGATCTCATTCAACTTTGTTATATTTTACATACGATACGTGCAAAAACTACGCCAATGATCGAAAATCGTGAGCTATATGAAATATTGCTCAAAATCATGCTGTGTGTCCCCGATTCTATTTTGGGACAAAAATACGATCTAGGGTTCTTCAGTAAGTAGTGAAGTGTCGGTAGCTGTTCTATTCCGAATATTAATTTGAATATTTCAAAAATTTAAATAACCTGAAATGGGTAATATTTCATAAATAAAGACGGATTATTTCGACATAATTTCACTAGAACTAACTTCCGGTATTTCTAACTATTTGTCACAGTGGGCCATTCCAGAAAAAATATCACACTGTGAACATATTCCATTTTTACGAAAGCATAGAATAGCCAAAAATTATTTAAATAATATCAATGAATTTCATGTTTCAAGTCGGAATTTGACAAAATTCAGAGTTTAGAGTAAGAATTTAACAAAAATTCACAAATTGAAGACAAAATTCAACGAAATTATCATCATTAAACTCTGGCTAAGAACTTGGAATTTCATCAAATTCTGACTTCGAAATTTAGTGAATTTTATTTGTATTGAAATATGTGGCCCTTCTACGTTCTCGTACATTTTCATCATTCTATGAACCAAAAAAAAAACAATCGTCAACATGTTATCTTTAATAATGGTTCGCCCAATTATATTTTCGACAAATTTGAGTTAATAATTATTCATGACCACCAGAAGTATCACTAATTGTGTTGGAATTTTCATCGTCTTTGTAAATGAAATATTTCACTTCGGTTCAGATTGTCAACAAACGTAATTACTTTATAATAAAGACATTGGGAATTCCTTAAAGAGTGAATACCGGTACCGGTACCGGAAATAGTTTTTTTAATTCAACGTTTGATTGTTTTTGTCAGGTCTACATGTTTAGATCGTCAGCACCCACCTATAAAACGAGTTCACATGTGGGAGTAATAAAATGGATTAGGGTCCGGGGTGTTCAATTCTCAGAAAGAAAGAGCGAGAAATGAGCATAATAGGTAAGGAAATATTGGAAAGCTCCGTTTTCCTGGTAGAAATAATAATAATGACCTGAATCATGATGTATCGTTGTAATAGACGTCAGAAAATGTTAATTTATTTTATCGGTTCTCTTGAAGTTGGGGTAGTCGTGATGAGTGTGGAATGTACATTGAAAAGGTCATTACTTGAGTTGATTGAATAAATATACAAGGAGTGGTGTTGAAAAAATAATAGATATATTTCTGAGAAGTCTACGTCAACTAAGTTATTTTATATTTTCTGGAAAAGGGGATGATGAACATTGAAATTTATTTTAATTGGATGCTACTGGGTATATTTAGTGTTGAAACTTTTTCGGCGGAAATATGCGGATGGAAAAGAAGAATTATTCGACTCAAAGTCAGTGAAATTACTACATGGTCTGAATAAGTTTATAGAGATTTCACTCCCATGTTTTCAGATATTTTTGAATTGTGATGCACTGTTTGGAACCTTTGGTGTAGTAATGAATATTATTGGAGTTTAATCCCAACATCAAACCGTTATATTATTAAGATGATCACTTGGTGGTTGAAACACGTGTCGGGGTGTTAAAAATAACGGTTTGGTGTTGGGATTGAACACCAGTAAGATGTTTTTGACATAAGTAATCAAATGATATATAATAAATACATATACAACTGCCAGTATTTCTTCTCCGGGTATTGCTTCATTATGAAAAATAACATTTTTTTTGAAGTCTCAATTTTTAGTGATATTCAGTCTACTCCCCTACAAAAATACTTAATATATTTTTTGGACGAGTTGGGATCTACATTTTTTTTCAATTTGAATAATCCAAAGACTTGTTGATATGATGTTTCGAAACTAAATAGACTATGAATTTTTGGAAAAATATTTTGCAAGTTATTTTTCCAGTGACTCGTAAAAAGTAAATATTTCGGTCATACCTTGGAAATGTCAGGAAGAACGTTGAAGCCGAGGTCTTGGAGCAATCCTTGATCGGCACTTACGATGGCACCACTTAACGCAAGAAGATAGAACAACGTCCACCAGGCGGCTAGATAAGCCAAAATAATACCGCCCATAGCCGGGGGCCAAAAGCCGTCATTAGTTGCACCTGACACTATGCGATTGCATATGCACTGCACTGGAGGAAGAATTATTACGCGAACCAACTCTCTGTAGTTGTCGCTATGATGTGCGGCTTTTAACTCACGCGCTACAACCCAGTCACTCACACTTTTATATGAGTAGGGGAATTATACTTTCTGGAATTAATACACAATGTCTAAAACACCCTGTTCCTAATTCTTGGTTCTTGAACTTTTTAGCCGCTTTTCCAGGATCTCCTCCTACAGCGAATTCTGCCATTCATAGTATTAATTGATTTTCGCCAAATTATTGCCTAGATGTTGAGGTTTATGTTGTTTGCTTTTCATTTGTAAGCGTTACTTACTGGTCACCGTTTTGCAACTAGCAAAAATGAAATATATTCATTTCGAAAGGGTTGTTGATTTCGAAAATTTTTATTGCCTATGATTTTTTCATTTCAAAGTCTACAAAGAGTCATTTAAAAAAATCGTATTTACTGATGTAGAGATGTGTATTTATTCATAATATACACGGCGTCATGATCCAAACTGAAGGAAATGATGGCGGAGTTGAAGGAGGTGATAGTCGAGTTAATAAAATATATGGCTTAATTCTTCACTGTTTTCGGGTAATTTCGATTTGAGGACTTTCAAAAAAACCTTGTTCATGTTTCAAAAAATGTTTATAAAATACTCTAGGATATTTTCACTGATTTCTTGTTCAGAAGCATGTCTCTCATTCGCAGTATGTTTATGAAACATTTTTCAATTTCTCTCCTTAAAAAATTAGCAATAATTCAAAGATATGTATTTTCAGAACACAGTGAAAAAAATTACCCCTTTTTTTGTGAAATATACCACATTTTTTTGATAATTGAAATAAGATTTTACTGCTTACAATAGAAACTACATGATGAAATACATGATGAAATTTAGGAAAATTATTTGCAAAAATGTTCAAAATATCATCTACTAGCTTTAATACATAACCTTCAGCGGAGCTGTTTTTCAACCTAACCACTTTGGATTCCCAAATGCTGGCAAAATATTTCGTATTTCTTGCACTACATAATGAATTCGTCCCCACAATGTTTATTCATTATCGCATTCCATAATCATATACGTGCTCTTTCATGTAGTCTCATATAAAATCTCAAGAGGATTCAAATCCGGAGATGCAGTTGCCAAGATATCGTTCCCCCTTTCATATCCATTTTTTTGATAGGTACTTATGAAAATTTGCCGTATTCAGAGAAAAGGTGTATCCGTATTCAGTGAGATCCTAAGTAAACTGCGAGTGGGATCTTCTTCAATTAGCAAAAGTATTGGTTGCCATCAGAAACTTGGATTATTCTTTCCCGGTTGGTTATCCAGGGATATGGCCTTCAGGGTACGCATTGTGTACGCGTGTCGAGAATTTCCGATGAAGGGGCCATGAACAAACTGTTTTTTAATATTCTCGTAGTGTGTATGGTATATTTTTGTAAGCATTGATGTATGTCTGAAATCAATGGAACTTTTTTCTCTCGAAGACAAGAGAACGACTGAGTTGATTACTCTTGATTTATTTAGTTTTATAGCAGCCGTTAAAAAAAGAATTCAAGTATTTGCTTAGACAGAAAACCAACCCACGATCGTTTGGTTTTAAGTTGTTAATAACAGGACCCCACAAGTATATGCAAATACGAAACAGGCAGCATAACATTAGTAAATTAGTCCTTTTCAACAAAATAAATAGATATCCTTCTTGGCTCTTCAGACTTTAGATACACAAATTCAAACTGTAGCAATTTTTTCAAAGAACAGAAAGGTAAAAAGGGTAGTTGACCTGCCAGATTTTTAAAAAATCAAGACATCTAGTAGCAAGGGCAAAATTAGTAAAATGAGCATAAGATAATTCTCATCACGGTCAGTTCTGAAATCTTCTAAGGTTTCTTCAATGCACTTGGAGATTTCATTGACTTTTCAAATACCATTGCTGTTTTTTTCCACCCACAGACTTTCGCACATCTCTTAGATTTTGAATCAGCCAAAAGGAACACCTTTTTTATATCAACTTGGATTGAGTCTTCAATTGATTTCATAGATGACGTCTTCGTTGAGGAATATTTCATCGCCTTCACAGAGTCAAGCTTGTCCTATGACCCGTGGTTCAGCCTAGTTAGGTTAGGTTAGGTCAAAAGTTAGTGGGTCTATTCGACCTTCCACCGCAAACCGCAAGAGTTTATTGTGGCTCGCACCTATTCACCATCGATCAAATAAACCCAGCTTTATAATGAAGCCGATTTATTTATATGGTGAGTAATCTTTCAGGTCAGATGATAAGAGTGCGGCTCTGCCAAACTTTGAAAACCTGATTCAGTCTGCAGTGAGGCAGGCACAAAGTATGTGATCTGCTGTTTCTTCGTTTTCCAAACAGTGGCGACATCCACTGGTTTTCGACAGTCCGAGTCTCTGCATATGATGATTCAGACGACAGTGACATGTGAGGACACCTGTTAGACATCGTAGTTCATCCCTAATGTAGCCCAACAAATGTTTGTTGGCAAGTTTCGAAGAGTGAATGAACGCCTTGGAGTGAGCCAATCCTGGAATTTTTTGCTAGAAGTCTATAAATCTTCTTGCCATCCAGGTATTCAATGTTTGTTTGGCAAAACCTGAAGTGATGCGAAAGATAAGTTCTAGCCCGATTAAGTTGATTGCAGCACCCTCCTTTTTAAGGGAGTCAGCAGCCTCATTGCTTTTCAGGCCAGTATGGTCAGAAATTCCGACCAGATAATTTGTTAAAATTTCCATTGCCTCTGACGGTATGGCACTGGTGGCACCACAGATAGTCAGACAAGCCTGTCTTTGTAAGCCAGATAGTTTCACCTGAGCCGTTTTCTGTAAAGCCTTCGGCCACATAAATCCAATGGATTTGTTTGGTACCTAAACCTAAAGTTTCACCACAAATCCTTCGACATGTCCATAGGGACAGTCTGGCTTTGTGTGAAACTTTTTTCCAAGTGCACAGTAAAAATAAAAATATCAAAGTGAAGAACATTATTTCGATAAAGAAATCTTGCTCTCCTAAATTCATGAAGAAATATTTTTATAAACTGATTAATGATTCAAATTCAATTTGAATTTGAATCATCAACGCTTCTTTCAAGTAAAAAAAATATTCCACCAAGATTGGGCATACATTTCAATAGAAATCATCACATTAGCTCAAGAGAGGAAAGTATGCATTCTTTAGTCTGAGCAGAATTTATCTCCAAGCAAAACTGTTTTGGATTTTGAAAGAATGATATGTTTACTTGGAACATTACTAATATGTCTCCGTATGTGAAGGGGTTAATTTTTAGGAACGATTAATTTTTGGGAAAGTTTTTGGCTTTCTACTACTCCATCTGATACAAAAAAAGGGATGAGAGAATCTTCCAAAGAAAGGAAGGAAGTAATCATTTATAGGAATTCAAAGTGTCGTGTGAGTATTATTAGAGGATCAATGAAAAATATAAAATGTTTCATTAAAAAAATGTAACTCATAATCATACAAACATACTTAAACGTATATGATTCGCTATTTGAATAACAGCATTCAGTGTTTTCTCATTTTTGGAAATTCTTATTTCTACTCTAGTGAGTTTGGTAATATTTCTACCTATTTCTTACATTCCAAAAGGAAATATATTAAATAATTTCGAGCTGAGTGGGGTATATTCAATTTGTTCCCAATGAATAACATAAAAACAAACAAAGCAGAGACGTTTCGGAATTCAACAAACATTTACATGTTGAAATCAGAAAGTGGCTGTCATATGTAGGTGCTTTTATACCAACTGGTGTCTTTTTTGGTATTTTTTTGTCTAAACTTTAAGTACCTCTCTCGTTCAATGAAAAATGAATTCGGTCTAAGAGAAAATCAAATTTTATTTAGAGAAAATGCACTTATTTGAAACAAGATAAAAGATAACACTTGAGATAACAAGAGATTGGCGAATTTGAATCAACGTGAAGGATTTTTGAGTTCGAATTAATATACACATGCAGAGCTCGGCAAATGTAATAATGCATGTATGAAAAATCAGGAAGCATCGATATAATTTTCGCGAAATGAGGGGAAAATTAAGAGTTGCTGTCAAAGTTTACTACTTTCTCTTCGGTACTTCGTCCTGCCTTACTTCAAGTAAGGCAGGACAGCAACTCACGATCGTTTGGTTTCAAGTTGTTAATAACAGGGTTCCACAAATATATGCTAATAAAAAAACAGACAGGCAGAGAACAAGTCTACACTAGTTTAAACCACGCGACTCAAATAATGTTCAGCAATTATTAATGAATGTGAGCTGAATTATTGATGATAATGTCATAATCATATCTTAAAAAAATTGGTTTTCTTGGAATTTTTAAACAAGTTAGTCCTTTTCTTGATCAGCACAAAATTAGTCTTTTTCATCAAAATAAAGTAGGTATCTTTGTTGATTGTTCTAACTTTCGAAACACGCATTCAAATTGTAGCAATTTTTTCAAAGAACAGAAAGGTAAGAAGAGAAATTGACTTTTCATATTTTTTGAAAACCATGACAATTGGTAGCAAGGGCAGAAAGTAGAGAAAGAATCTCAAGACGATCCAAATCACGGTCCGTTCTGAAATCTTTTGAGGTTTTTTCATTGGACATTTCTTTGACTTTTCATATATCATTGTTGTTTTTTCCACCCACACAGTTTGACACATCTTTTAGATTTTGAATCACCGTTATTTTTTAAATATTTTCTTGGATTGAGTCTCCTATTCATTTCATAGAGAGCATCTTCGTAAGGGAATATATTGTCGCATTCACATAGTAAAGCTTGTCCTATGACATAGCATAGCATTCCTGATTCAACCGAGTAAAACTGATGATATCTACGGCGGGTTAAAACACTGCTGTCTAGTGTTGGGTAACAAATGTATTTGGGCTTTGGTTTTGACTGCTCCCACAATTCTGATATATTAATTATTAACGAGCTAACCTTCATCTACAGTCCTTTGTTTCCTTCAAAGGCTGCTCTTACCGCAAGCAAAATTTTTGATGTATTCAAATATTTATTGGGGTTTAGGTACCA